CCCGACAGTGGTGTTTCCCAAGGCATCACGTTGGCCTTTTCACTAAGTCCATTAGGTTTGGTTTGTTCGTAGAGCTAGAGTTAAGGACTGTGTATGAAATGGAGTCGTGGCATCAGATTTAGAATAAAATCCAGTGGCCCAGTGGTCTCCAAATCCACCTGTGCATGGAATCACTTTGGGGGGGGTACATTTAAAAACACAAACTCCCAGGCTCACCCCAGACTTAAGGAATTGAAGTACTAGATGTGTGTGGATGGCGGAGGGGGGGGCATGGTGTTTGGAAATGTATGCCCCCAAAAGTTTTTGAGGTATTTCAGCTGTTCATCTAGATTTGGGAACAGAAATCTAGACCCAGGAATAACACAAACACTCAAGTTCAAAATCAGAGTCAAAGATTCAAGTCAAAGCTTACAAGGGTCAGAGGGTGGCAGAAAGTGCAGCCAAAGTTGAGCTTAGGAGCCTGGACAGCCTGTTCACTCATGACCTCCCTGTGTTCCACAGCACCCCCTGCATGTCCCTATCATTGTTCTTGCCCACGGTGCTGAAATTATCTCTCCAGCTTGTATTTCTTTTCTTTTCTTTTTTTGAGTTGGAGTCTCACTCTGTCGCCCAGACTGGAGTGCAGTGGCCGCTCCTGGCCACCACAGCCTCAACCTGCTGGGCTCCGGCGATCCTTCCGCCTCAGCCTTCCAAGTAGCCGGAATTACAGGCACGCACTACCACGTCCGGCTGATTTTTTGATTTACTGTAGAGATGAGGTCTCGCTGCCCAGGCGGGTCTCGAACCCGCGGGCTCAGGCAATCCACTCACCTTGGCCTCCCAAAGCGCTGGGATTACAGGCTGAGCCACCAAGCCTGGCCTGTATTTCTTTTCAACTGTGAGATTCGCAAAGGCAGGCACAGTCTCAAGAATTCATCCTACATCCCCGCCACCTGTTCAAGGATACGATGTATGTTGTTCAAATGAATCATTTACACAGACGTTGAGAGAGTGAATTATTAGTAGGAATCTTAGGTTGCACACGAACAACTTGAACTCGTTAAAAGCAAGAAAGGAATGCGGTGTAAGTCTGCAGGGTACCTCCTGAGACTCAACCCTGGTCTTCAGGCTAGAACTAGACCAAGAAGATGAAGGCCATCAGGACTTCCATCTCTGCTTCTCGCTGCACGTGCACTTTCAACAATTTCTTTCTGAAAACCAGATGTTTTCTGTGTCTCTGGTCTTCAGGGCTCCTATTTTGCGGTTCCACTTTCCCAATGAGAGTCACTCACTGGCCATTTTCATTCTAAATCCCTGGGATAGAGAATCGGACTGGCCTAGCTTGGGTCCAGTGTCCAAACAGAATCCAGCTGGCTATGCCCAGAGACCAGGCACAAGGAAGAAACATGGGTGCCAGAGAACCTCTGGATGGAGGGGCAGGGGATGGTCTGTTCCCAGATGAAGGCAGACCAGGACACTTCTAATATTATCTGTGGCAGCAAGGCAGAGTCAGGTAGGCAACTCAGAAGGAGAAGCTGAACAGTGTGCCAGAGAACTTGGCACGAAAGGCCATACCGAGCATCTCAAGCAAGAGGTATTTTCCCACTTTCCCCTAGAGCTGGTGTCTCAGGGCATGGCCAGTCGGATCTGTTTGGTTGCAGTAGACTGTGCAGACTGTGAATCCCAAGTGGATCAACACCAATTGTGGGACTGTGGGCATGCTCCTTAGCCTCTCTTTTTACATCTGGAAGGCGAAGTTAATAATAATTTCCAACCTACCTCCATAGTAAGATTATTGTGACAAAGTAAAAGAAATAATGCTTATAAAGTACTTAGTACAGTGCTTCGCACTTGATGCTAAAAACACGTCAAATATTGCTAAGGTCATTATAAGAGCATCACTCTATACCTGAAAATTCCTGATGTTCTTCTTTATGGATGGAGTCCCTTTCTTTTTCTGATACAAACTTCATGACTTGCAAATATCTCAAGACTCGATTGTTCTCCCAAGTCTCCAGTTTCGTGTTGTTTTTTAAACTCCAGCTGAAGGCTGGACATCCAGTGGATATCACTTCAAATTCAAATGGACCAAAAAGTACTCATGTTATTTTTCTTAGTACCACTCTTCAAATTCTCCTGGCCTGTGCATGTTTCTGTTTTGATAGCATCAACCTTGCCTGAAACCCGGCTAAGAGACTAGGAGTGACAGAATCACGACTTCCAGAAGATCTGGAGTCACTGGATTGGGAGGCATCTTTGATGCCTCTCCTTCACATCCTGAGTCTTCCCATTCACCAAATTCTACTTGTCTTTTTCAGGTGATCATATGACTAATAACAAACACTCGTTGTGGGCTTAGTAAGTGCCAAACAGGGTCTAAGCACTTTTCCAAGTGTTCATTAATTTCATCCTCATAACAGCCTTAGGGGGCAGGTCCTATTATTATTTCCACTTATAAATATGGAATCTGAGATTTCAGAAGTGAAATCACCTGCCTGGAGTCACTCTGTCTGTAAGCAGCAGGGAGCAGTCAGTCTGACTGTGGAACTCTCACTTCTAACCCCAACCCACAGTGTCACTCTATGATGACTGGAGTCTCTCTTTCTGTTGTTTCCACCACCACTTGGGCAGTGCCTCATATTACACCTCTGTTATTGCATTCAATTCCCAATTAATCTCCTTCACTTTGGTCTTTGTAATACAGTTCGCCGAATGCTGCTAGATTGCTCTTCCTTCAACCCTGCGTCTACAATGTCATTGGAATCTCTCTACAGCCTATGATGTATGAAGTACATTCCATCTCTGGTTTTTTAGACCTTATGCACTCTGGCCCACACTATCAATTCAGCTTGATTTTCTCCTACTCCTCTCCTATTATCCATCACCGATCTTATCCTAAGATCAGTCAGGCTGATCTCTCCACGACTTTATATGCATACCATTTATTCCTACCTCTGTGGCTTTATCAACCTCTACTGGTGTCAACTTTATCTATCCACTCAAAATATGGGGGCTTTGTGAACCCTTCCTTACCAATCTCTTCAGTCGAATATGACCTTTCCTTTCCTGAGACTCTTGTAACACTGTCTTGTACCCCTCTTAGGAGATCACATTCTGCCCTGTGTAGTAGCTGTTTGTTTGCTTTTCTTATTCATCTCCCCGATCACCTGTTTGTTGGCTTGTTGAAGACAGAGTGTGTGCTTCACTAATTCTTGGGTTCCCCACAGGGCCTCCTTCAATGCAGAACACATAACAGGTGGTCGATAAATAGTTACTGGACCGAACAGATTTCTGGTTTCACCCACTCACCATGTTTCCTCACTCCCTTTCATTTTGTTTCATCTTTCACGAAAATCTCACCTCTTGAATGAAACGCTACTGATTGCTCTTGTCCTTGATGAAACTTACTTTCTCAGAACCCTTAAGGCTGATACCACATGTCTTAGTTTGTTTCTGCTGTTAAAATAACATACCATAGACTGGGTAATTTAGAAGCAACAGAAATGTATTTCTCACAGTTCTGGAGGCTGGAAGTCCAAAATCAAGATGTCAGTAGCTTTAATGTCTGGTGAGGGCTGCTATCCCCTTCCAAGATGGTGCTTTCTTGATGTGTCTTCACATGGCAAGAGGGAACATTGTGTGCTCACAAGACAGAAGAAATGGAAAGATCAGGCAGCTCTCTGAAGCCCCTCTGATGAGGGCATAAACCCAATTCACAAAGCCCTATGACTTAAACACTTTCCAAAATGTTCCACCTCTTCATGTCATCACACTGGAGATCAAGTTTCAACCTAAATTTTGGGGAGACACCAACATTCAAACCACAGCACAACACAATTTAGTCTTTTACTAATTGTTTTATACGGCATATTTATTGTTCAGTTGTTACTACACAAAGCCTGGCATATAAAGATTCCGTGGAATGAATCAATAAGTCACTCTTGCTCAGCAATCATAAGGCAGCTACGATAGGTTCCTACTTTATCTATCTTGTGTATGCCCTCAGAGCTCTCAGCATGTGATAGATGCTTTATGCATATTTGCTGACTGATTGGTTCTCGGATTTTCATTGCAAATCTGTCCTGCCTTTACTGCTCTTCTGTCCTTGGCCTGTGATTATGCTGAAGAGGCCTCTGAGTTATCTGGCCTCATTTCCACACTGAGTACAGGCAGGGTCAGGTTGCTCACACACAGAGGTCTTTTTGCCGGTCTCTTTTAAAATTCTGCTCTTAATTTAAATCCAGACCTTCTTACAGGGACACATTCCTAGAGGAAGGGGTGGGATTGCTTAGGTTGTGGGGGACAGATTGGGAGGCTGGGGAATTGTAAAACACAGTGTTTGGCCAGGAAAGACTTGGCAGAACTTGGTACTGGGTCTGCACACACAGTACCTGTGGGGAGAAAAAGAGCCACTCCTTGTGTAGCTAGTACTGTTTAAAGACATGGCATGGACTCTACCAGCAGATCTAAAAACATCAATACAATAACATTTATATGATCTAATAATAGCTTGTTAGTACCATGCAGCTAACATGGCAGAGACCAGAAATGGCTAGTATTTGAACTTCTTGAAGGAAAGCCTAACCTATCAAGAGGAAAGGAAGTGCTGGGATAAGTAGGCATCTCGAACTGTGCTGTGCACCCCACAAGGCCTCAGCCACACTTGGTGACGGCAGATGGTAAAACGGTTTCACACACTGGAAGGACTTCAAGTTTTGCCTCCCTGGACATAATCTTTCATACTGGTGCTCAGTATAGTGGGAGGATACATTCACAGGGAGTGTGGAATCTGATCCTTATTCACTTTCCCCAAGCTAGCAGGGAGCTGGAGAAAGGAAAAAGTCTTGACAATCATGACAAAGACATATCTGATGTTTCATTGGACCGAAGTATGAATTCTACACTGCACTGAGCAGTGGACTAGCCAAGATTAGGTTTTTATTTATTAATATTATTTATGTATTTATTTGCCATCAATCTGGCGTATATGCTTAAAAAGGTCTTTGTTTTAAATGCAGGTGAACCAAGGACATATGACTCAGATTTCAAGGGGCCTGTTGCCAACAGGTAAGCATTTCTTTTCTTGGGTATACGTTCTTTTCTAAAAAAACAAGCACACAAGGCTTATTTTTTGGGTACCATTTTCTAGCCAATGAAAAATTGTGTCTGTGGTGAAGGGGAAGTGACTTATTTCTGCCTAAATGTCACCTTATTTGCACAGGGAAAGTACAGGCAATAAATCTTTCCATGAGTCATGAATATCTTCTCCTGTTCTGCAAATGAAATGCCTTAAGTTATTATCCTGAGAGTTTGTATTTCTCAAAAGGAGAAACCAAAAAAATGCTTTATGATATTTAACTCCTTTGCAGAGAAACAAACGCATTCAAGTAGTTGTTTTATGCACCTGTTTACTCTGACTCACCACCGCAAATGCAGAGTTGCTCGGCCAACTTCTTCCACGCCAGGTGTGCAGCTGTGCTACCCAAATCAGAGCGCTTTCTCAGAGGCCATCCTCCCCCAGTGCATCACATACACTTTTGGGCACTTTAAAAGGCCCAAGGGAAATATGTGCTCCTCTCTGCTAGTGCTTCCCTCCCCTTCCAAGGTCCCATGGCATTTAAAAATGAGCCAGTAATTCCCAGTCCTCTTGCCATTTGTTTTGCCCCTGCGAAACAAATAATTAAATAATTAGCTGACCTCCCGCTCATTCAAAGGGGGCTTCTGAGAGAGAATGGCTGAATATGAAGAGAAGTTTGTGCTGTTGGTCGCTGGTTTTGGCCGAACTCTGACTGTATTTCTGGCAGTTGTATGTCCTAAGAGACTGCGATGTGAACCGGTGGTCAGCATGCTCATTTGTGCTTGCCGGCCCCGTGCACGAGCATTTCTTCTTATGTCCCTGTAATACCCCAGCTTCAAAAAGAGGCGTATTCCGTTTGTTCTAACGCTGCAGAAAGCCAAGTCATTTGTTTCAGAGTGCTCATTCAGAAGTATACTTAGAATAAAGGTGCCTTCTTTAGAATGAGTCTGAGATCTCTCTCTTTCTCTCCATGTAACATCATGAGTCCATGTCGTCGTTGCGAATGCAAACAGCCTCATTTAACGCGGTGGTTCCTTTTACTGGAATTGCATTCCTTTTACAATAACGAATTTGTGAGAACTGAATATAGCATATTGGCCTCAAGGGACCTCTGGATAGAATTCAGATTAGGCAGTAATAATCACGATAATAAATAGGCCGCCACATCAGGACAGAAGAAGCACCCATTATAGGTATGCCTTTCACGGCCACAGAGAGAGGAGTAGAGTTAGGTCCAGCTGGCTTTAGGCGTAAGAAACATGGTGAGATCTCCCTGTCTTCAGTTATTTTTTTATTTTTAGTTTTTGAGTTGGAGTCTCACTCTGTCGCCCAGACTGGAGTGCAGTGGCCGCTCCCGGGCACCGCAGCCTCGACCTGCTGGGCTCCGGTGATCCATCCGCCTCAGCCTTCTGAGTAGCTGGAACTACAGGCGCGCGCTACCACGCCCGGCTAATTTTGATTTACTGTAGAGATGAGGTCTCGCCAAGTTGCCCAGGCAGGTCTCGAACCCACGGGCTCAGGCAATTCACTCACCTAGGCCTCCCAAAGGCGCGGGATTACAGGCTGAGCCACCGAGCCCAGCCATTTTTAATTTAATGATAGAACCGGGTAGTTCAGGCAAAGTCTAAATGCCTGTGATCATTACTGGGAGAAAAGCCATTTATTTTTACCTGGGGATTTTTGTGATGCCTCTGACATGGCAAAGAACTTCAAAGGTGAAATGGTCATTCTGTGGGCATACCTCCATCCAAGAGCAGAGGAAAGCATTGTAAATCTGCAGGGGTGTAGCTTTAGGAAGACGCAGCTGGCCCATTTATAACTTTTTCAAGCAGCAGGGTCCTGTACTGCCCTTACTGGGAAAATAATTGGCATGTTGAAGGAGTGAGGGAGAAACCCCCAGTTCTTTGCTTTGCCTCTAGCAGCAGGACCGGCTTTAATAACACCTTGTGCATATATCATGTGGCTCCCCTTCTTGGAGATCTGAAGTCATAGCAGATACTCAGGCAGACCCTGCAGCACTCTTTGCTTGTCGGTCCGCCATGTTCTACTCACCTCTCTCAGTTCACAAGGACGGCATTGTGTGCCCTGTCACCACTCCACAGTAGTTGTTTTGAAAGGAGGTGAAGGAATGGTGGTCATGCTGTAGGAGAACTCAGCTCAATATCTCATTTGTCCCACCTACTATGAGTTGGATGCAAGAGAGCTATTGTCCCATGATATTGACCAAAAGAAGGCAATCTTGATAGTTGAAGGTGTTTTCCCAGGCCCTTGTTGAAATATAGGTCTTTGGGCCCCATGATTTCTCCCCTGTGTTCAACAGCATCAGAAGATGATGGATAGTGAAAGGGTGTTCAGTGCAATCCTTGGCAATATACCAGAGATTGGAAATGGACGCACATAGGAAACTAAGAAATGAAAGCTCTTTCATAAGATGCTACATGAGAAATTCCTCTTGTCATTTAGAACTAGGAAAAATGTCGATTTAATGGAGAATTGGTGCACTTTCTTTGCTAGATAAAAACTGTGTAATCCAATGTGTTTCTCTATTTGTACTGACTTGTTGAAGCCCACCTGTCTTTGAGGAAAGGAACATTCTATTTTTGTGTTATTATCGACTAGTATACTTCTGTTCCTAGAGTGAGGAGTACTGCAGAGATTTGTTTAAGGAATAAAGGAAGGGAAACAAGGATGGGAAGGAAACAGTGTGATACAGAACCCATAGATAAATATGAGGGAGACCCCAAAACACCTGGGATTTAGTTATTAAAAATTGTGTATTTATTCTTACGTGTTTAACTTGACTCCTTTTTTTTTTCTTTTCTTCTTTTTTTTTAAAGTCAGAGTCTCACTCTGTCCCTCAGACTGGAGTGTAGTGACGTGCTCAAGGCCACTGCAGCCTGAACCTGCTGGACTCAGGCAATCCTTCTGCCTCAGCCTTCCAAGTGGCTGGAACTACAGGCATGTGCCACCATACCCAGCTGATTTTATTTACTTATTTATTGCAGAGACAAGATCTCGCCATGTTGCCCAGGCAGGTCTTGAACTGCTGGGCTCAGGCAATCCTCTCACCTCTGCCTCCTAAAGTGTGGGATTACAGGCATGAGCTACCCCTCCTGGCTTGAGTTATTTTTAAAGTACTCTCCATCTGATGCAATATACCTATTGATACACTTTTTCCACTACTCAAAACAGTTTTTGAACTTATCAGTCTTGATGCCTTTTGGTGCTTCTACCATTTTTTGTTTCACCTCTGCCATTTTTTGTTTTACCTCTGCCACATCCACAAAATGTTTCACTTGGAGGACTTTTATCATCTGGGGAAACAGTCCCCCCCCCCAAAATATCACGTGGGTGATTAGGGAGGTTGGGGTGAATTGGGAGGGTGGGGCATGGAGGACATGCTGGTTTTGGTCAAAAACTATTGAATATTCAGCACAGTGTGGGCAGGTGTGCTGGTAAATCACCCATGATGAAACGGGCAGACACGTTGCAGGACTCTCCAAAAACAGAACAAAAGAATTCACTGACGCCACATGCAGCCTCTCACGACAATGTTAGCCGATACACTGATACTGACTGATTTCTAGAACATTTAACTTATAGTGAAAGCCTGCACTACAAGGGGCCCACCCTCCAAAAATAATTCCGTTTTGTGGGGGGAATCCCCCCTCGTACCAGGATGACCTTCAAGAGAGCTGTGTAATGGCCACAGCAGTATCACATTTGATGCCAATCACTGTATGTAATTGAAGCCTCACCTGTAGGTTTGAACTTCAGGACTTTAATGTCTATTTAAAGCTCTTGCTAAGATGCTATTAAAATCCTACACCATTTTCACATGCCATTGGTGTGAGATTGGGGGGCGTATTCCTAAATAAGATGCTCAGCTAACAGAGCTCTCTGCACTAATTGCTTGACTAGGACTTATGGAACACACCTGATGATTTTTCAGTTCAGTTAGCTTTGATGAAGGGGGTATGACACACATGGTGTGGATCCAAGTATGCTGGGTCAAGAGAGGTCAAAGATTGGCAGGTCCCAGGGCAAACAGTTCAGTTTTTTTTCCCTCTTTCTTTTTACATCAGAGCAAAGCCATTAAAATGTTATGACCATTTGCTTGACCTGTGTCCCAAGTCTAGAAAAATAGAGTCCAATTTGCGACAATTGGCATCCTGTGATAAAGGCCACATATTATCCTCTCGGGTTTGGGTGAAGGAATTGGTTTTGTTTTGTTTTAAATAGACAAACTCTCCTGAAAAAAAGGACAAAGTTTTAAAGAATCCGGACATTTTCAAGCATAGTTATGGAAGAAATAACCATATACTTTACAAACAGAATGCCATCCAAGAAGTCAGTGCTCTAACCAGGGGCACACTTAAAAAATAAATACAAATGCCAGACCTCATGATGAATTACTCACACAAATATTGTATGCAGGCCCCTATCCTCCAAGGGAAATGACAAACCAGATGACAGCACAAGCATATCAAAATCTAAGGAGCAGGCCAGGTGCGGTGGTTCACACCTATAATCCTAGCGCTTTGAAAGACTGAGGTGGGAGGATGACTTAAGCCCAGGAGTTTGAGACTAGCCTAGGCTACATAGCAAGATCCTGTCTTTACAAAAAAATTATCTGGGCGTGGTGGCATGCACCTGTAGTCCTAGCTACTCAGGAGGCTGAGGCAGAAGAATCACCTGAACCTAGAAGGTCAAGGCTGCAGTGAGCTGTGGTTTCGCCACTGTGCTCCAGCCTGGGTGACAGAACGAGACACTGACTCAAAAAACAAACAAAACAAAAGCCCAGCCAAGGAGCAGTCACAGGTAGCACATGCTGGGCACGAAATGTGGCAGGATTTCGGGGAGGAAAGGTGTTCTGAGGCTGGGATCTGGGGTCTGAGGAGGGCCAAGGAGCAATGAAGACTACCACTTGATGTGAGGGGCTACCCCCAAATTTGGGAATACAGACACTGCCTTCTGAGAGTCAAACTAT